ACTTACACTGACTTGCAAATCTTAGGTAGGTATCATTTGTGGTAAATTTTTGTTTATAAGCGCATTAAGTGGAATGTCAAAATAATGGCTCATTATTGGAGAAAACTGTATAGGATTTAGAAGAACCTGATTTACATAAGTTTGTATTTAAAGGAAAATGAAATCTCCCAAATTCAACGTAGTGTTCTAAGTATTATTAATACTAAGAATTTAAACTCATTTAACTCAAGCATCCACCTTTTCAAGAAAAACTACACTTTCTAAATATGTCCGTCCTTCTAGGCTATAGTGATGCTAATTCTGTGGGCAGACTTTGCACATCCATTATGTCAGGTCTCTTGTTATAATCCACGATCACTAAAACCATTTTGATTAAGGCGGTGTAGTGCTAGGTTTACAGATGCTCTTGCTTTCCTGAACCAAATAACCCTGGAAAATGTGAAAGCGACATATAACATCTTGATAATTCTGGTGCAGAGTCAATCAGGGCTTACAGCAGTGTCATGGCTTTTGTCCTATGCACCAACAAAAAATGTTTGAGAATATTTTATTATTTCTTCTTTTCATTCAGTTCTGTCTTCTGTGCCCTTAAATAAGAAGTCATGGTGCTGAATAGGCGAAGTTGTTTATGAAATAGAAATATTCCTTCATTTTACACTAGCATTAAGATGGAAATCAATAACATAACCTTGCATTAGATTCTTTAGTACCTTTTCATGTTCACACTAATGCAAAATCCCCATTACAATTAAAAAACATTTTCTTTCAATTAAATATCAACTTTTAGTCCAAAGATTGACCATTTTTCCAACCCATTAACTTTATAGGGGATGACAGGACTAATGGCTGTAGTTTTGAAAGCGTTGCTCTTAGTCTAATCTTTGTTACGATGTTTTAGGTTCTCTGACTTGAAACAATATGATACCTGTGTTAAGAGAGTTAATGCAAGTATATTGTACCCAAATGAAATATTAATAAGGTACACTACCCCAGTCTAGTAGTGTGTATTTCTATAATATGCTTATTATGAAGTGAACTCCAACTTCTTGTGCTCAGAAAACGGTTTACCTAGCAGCTTGATTTAAAAAAAAAAATACTGTGCAGAGCATCTGAGAAGGAGGATTAAGACAGAAAACACTGGCTTTGCTTCACTTTCCTAATAATGGAAAGGATTTAGGGTGAAGTGACGAATAACTTGGAATAAATGACTTAAAGCCACAAAAGCTATTTTCACCTTCATTTTTGTTTATCCAGTATGAATTGTTTTTATTTTTAAGATAATCTGAGGACACTCTGATTATCTGAATTCTTCTGAGATATTCTGAATAGCTAAAGAAGTTACACTTCACGTGCTGTGGACTAGATTCGTATTTGGAAACATATGCATTGGTTTCAAGAAAGTATAGCTGATCTTCTCCATAATGTATTTCTGTACATACAGAAAAACCTAATCCTGTGTCTTTCCTTTGATATTCTTCAACTCTAGGCACAAACCCACAGTTTTTATTTTGTGGAGCAATTTTCTGTCTTGACAAAATGGTATTAGATTACAGTTGCTCATGCATGCAGGATCAGTTTTGACTGTTCAGTAAAAAACAACAGCTTTTGGCTTAAGAAAAACTTCAGAATGTAAAGACAGATCAGAAAAAGTCGTGACATAACCAGAAAGAAGATTACAAGATTTAAACAAAATGCCAGGCACTGAAACAATTAGAAGAGTGCCGAAAATTCAGAATCTTACTGTGAAACAGGTGTTGACAGAAGCTAACCATTTTGCTGGTCTCTAAGTGAGGAACCCAGTAGATCACTAAAAGCATTTAATAGTAGTTCTTTGTGATGGCTTTTTAAATGTCAGAGTGCAATAACATATGACAAAACTTCAGTGTATTTTGTCTGCAAAATTAATTATCATTCCATTGCTCCTAAGTCAGTTTGAGTAGGAAGGATTTGACTTCTAGAGCTTAAACCGAAAGGTTTACAATAAAACATTCCAGCCAGCAGACAAGTGTTCTTTAACCTGCATGCAGCAGACGCCAGCAAACATAACACAAGCTACAGTACAAAGATGGGTAATGTTTTCATCTATAGAGACAGGGGGAAAAAAAATCATGCTAGAGAAGATAGGCCAGCTTTCCAACAGATTGTGTTTATTTCTGGGGCAAGAGAGCACGTTTAAAAGTCTACAAAGAATAGTGACCAAGCATCATTGTAAGGATGAGAAAAACAAAACCCTAAAAAGAAATAACTGACTTAATGAAATATAATTAGTGCCATATAAAACTTGCTGTGGTTTTTTTCCCCTCTTTCAGCTGCAAAGTGCTACACAGAATTCTCTTCTTTCTTACTTAGTGTGTGTTGTCCTTTTTTTTTTTTGGTCTTTGAGTAGGCGGTGTGGCTGTAAAATTATGACCTCAAGAATCTTCTTTGAACTTGTCAGAATGTTGTTTCTTTTGGTGACAGTGCCACCATCTCTCAAAACTAAGGCATCTGACATAATCAG